AGACTCTTTTCATTTGGGAACTTGAAGCACTCTTTCCCCTCTCTGCCCCGCAACACCCCTTTCTCCCTTGCTCTCCCTGTGATAAACTTGTCAACAACGTCTTTAAGATACCAGGTGAAACTATTAGACCGTTCCTGATATTCTTATCTGGGGAGTTACTTCACAAGGGTTTGTTTAAAAAGGATTAACACTCCCCTTTCCTCTGGTGGTTGAGAAATTGCTCCCTTTGGGGACTGGTTGCTAAGTGTTCATCCTTAGGGCAGCAAGTCTTTGTGCTGCTGGAACAAGGGCACAGCACAAAGAATTGGCTCTAATTCATCTTCCTGAGAGTTTAAGGAAACTGTCAGGAGAACTTATTGGTCCTGAATTGGCTCCATACAAATCAGAAAGCTTTTCCAGGAGGCTGAGGATTTTTTAAAAATCCAGCTCATTTTTAGCTTTTACTCCAGGGAAGTAGCAAATAATAAAAAAGATTACACTTATCTGCTTTCTATTCAAAATAGGGGAAAAATTGAGGAAGCCGGTCAGTGACTTTCAGGTCAAACTCTCCAAATTTGACTAAGCTATCTGCCTGTATGAAAAAGCAAAAACTGAACTGCTGAACCATGGAAAGAAAAAAGTTGGTGCCTTGAGCCCTACCTTGAGGTAGGACACACCAAGGGCCAGGAGCCTTTCTTTGAAACAAACAAAAAAAATAGCATTTTGTAGTCTTTTTAGAGTGAATGTAACCATTTTGCTGCTGAATGCAATTGAATGGAATATCCAAATTGTTAAATCAGTGAATTGAGAATCTTATTCAAATGATAACATAGTGAGCAGATGATGGTCATTGCTGACACTCAATGCTCTGTGGCTCAGCTAGTCCTGGTACCATTTAAAGAATTAAATGTAGACAATATGGCCTTGTCCTAATTCTATTTTCATAGGAGCCAGTCCTATACTTGTTTACTTTACTAAAACTGCCAATTGGAATTGGATCACATGGTCAGGAAGGGGGTAAGTGTATGCTTCATGTCTAAACAACCTTCCAAATAGTCATTCTTCTAGGATGACTGACAGCTAGACAAGTGGTAACCATTTGTTACTTATGGAACAATGGATCATTTCTTTAAGGAAGCTGGTGGGGCTATCTTCAAATATGTTCCACAGTCCATTAGGAAATGAACCAATTTTTGGTAACCCTCCCTCTGCCATGAGACTTTTATATGTATGTGGCATTTGATGGGGGAAAAGTGTCCTTTGACATAACCCATGTAAGTTGTAGCAACAAGAACAGTTTCAAGTTCCATGTATTTAAGTTTCACAGAATTCCCTGTTGTGGGATGTAGAAAACCAGTAGCAAAATGGTTCACTGCACAGGGAAAATGAGTGGCATTTCATGAAATGAATTAACTGATACCACAATATTAGTTCAAAAAAAAGGAAAGGCAAAAATCGAAACTAAAAAAAAAACTTTCTTAGGGGAACAAAGGGGGGCAGGAAGGAGGCAGGGAAGAGTGTTTCATGCTTATCAATGTGATGTTATCCTGACAATGTAAACCCTTAAGGATCATGCGACTGAATTTAAAAAAGTATTATGTACAGAGATTTAAATGACACCTTTGGAAGAGAGAAGTGTGACAGACTTAATGAGATTCGAGATCCAAATAGATGCTGAACTCAATACGACAGCAGCTGGGAGGAAGCTAATCATTCTGCTTACAGAGACCAGTCTTAGTGATTTATTTCTTTGACTGTTTTCAGATGGGATTGACATAATACATTAATAACCAAAGGTATTTACAACTACAAAGTCTCTGACACTGTAACAGGTTAAGACAAAGTACTGTCACAACTGGATCTTTTTTTTTTTTTTTGGTTGTTGTTATATTTTCTCTTTGAACTTTGGAAATGTGAAATACAGTAAAACCCCCTTATAACACAGTTCCTTCTTTTATAGCTTTGGAAATGCAGTGGGCCAGATTGAATCCCCTAATTATAACAATAGCTCTCTAGAGTTAATGATTGATGTCACATGACAGGCCTCTGAGGCTGGTGTTTGCCTTATTCCTTTAACGCTGGTGTTATAAAGGGGTCCCACTGTGTCAGGGAGTGTGTGTTGGGAAGGAAAGCCTTTTTAGGGTAGAAAATAAACAGTGGTTCAAAATGTGATTGCTAATCAGTACAAAAAGACCTTCAGCGACTGACCTTACTCCCGGAGTCCTTGGCTCCACATTCCCCCTTATCGTACCACCATTTGTTTTTCAGCTTGTCTAAGATGCCTTGTTCACTGAGTTTCAATACTGCAAGGTTTACAGGCGTTCTTCACGTGGGAAATAACATAAATAACATTATATTATGTTATTTTATGTTATTCAAGCTTCAAACTACTTTAAAACTATAGAAAGCGATAAAGCAGGGGGCCCTGGCCACAGAGTAATTTTAGACACTACAGGCAACCTGAACATTACCTTATAAAAAGTTAACACTACAGCAACGCTATATTTACCAGGGCCTGCCCATATCGCTTTGAGTAATCGGCACACACTGTTAAATAATGAGGATAGAAAAACAGGCACTCCTCAGATAGGCTGTGTGTGGTGAGGAGGGTCTCTCCTCAAGTGACAATCGTCGGCGGCAGCTTGCAGTAGTTTTGTGACGAGATGTATTAGGTTTGATCTAACCGGGTGTCTTGTTGTACTTCCAGACAGAAAGCAAGTTCTATGGAGGAGTGGGGGAGGGGACTGAGCCAGAATGGGCAGCATTTCCATATGTGAAAGGAGACAAAAGGATGAATCCGAACAGATAAGAGAGTAGATTCTTTGTGAATAACATGCCTTCTGATTGATTGTCCTTTATTACACAAATATGTTGCCCAGCCAAAAATGATCTTAGAAAGAACTGTATTCCATACATGTATTCACTCCACAAACTAAATTCTTATACACATCCTAATCTTAGTATTAAAAGTATAATGTGGACCTCTGTGTTTTGGATAAGAGGAATACTTTCAACAGTAGGAGAACTGGCCTATGGGTTGTTTTTGAGTTACTGACTAGCTGTCTCTCTGAGGTGCTCAATTCAGGCCGCCAGAGAGTGAACCAGATTGTTTTAAACTAGATTATTAATACGCATGACCTAAAATGCAAACTGCCTGCCACTGTGGGTAGCACTGTAGAGGAACAGCTTAGGTAAGCTGTTCTGGGAAGATAAGACTTCCTTAACTGAGAGGCTAATATATCTCCAGGAGGCCAGGCCACTGCTACCTAGTCCTCCACACCTTAAAGCATAAGGACTACAGTTGGAGCCACTGGGAAAAATGTAGGAAACCCTACTGGTCCCATGATCAAGATTTTCTCTCTTAAGAAATTTCTTCAGCTATAAAATGGGAATAATGACCTTTACCCTGGTGTCTTTCTAGAGCTAATGAATTTTAAATACAGTATCTCTAATAACTTTGGATAATTAATACATTATATATAGAGCATGGCATAGTTTTATTACAAGGCAATAAACTAGTGGGTGTTCAGACTCATGTGAACAATATTGCTAATACCAGTGCATATTAGTTTGAATGCCACGGATTTACAAGGAGGAAAGCAGACACATTTATACACACTTATGTAACTATGAACATGATATAAATTTTCCTAGCTTATTTTGGATAAGTTGGACTTCCTATAGTCACAGAGATCTGGTCTCTATCAGACCAAGTCCTCAAAGCTTATTTCCTTTCTTCCCCACTTTGCTGTTGAGAGCAGAGGGAGCATCTCAACCTGAGATATTCTGAGAAATGTATCATCATTTAAAATAATATGTAATTTCAGAGTACTTGAGATTTGAAAAACTAAAAACTTTTAGTGTCAGGGAGGTGACACTTTCTCAGTTAGTGCAGGGCTTGGAAGCCAGAATATCTGCATTTAGTATCTTACCAGGAAATTGAGGTCCTTTTATACTTTAAACAAGTTCCTTCAATCAATGCTTACAGTCTTAGGCTTTTCAAATGCCAACCAGAGATGCTTAGAATGCAAAGAAACACAATAGACTCAAAACTTTGAGCCTCTTTAAGATATTATTGGCAGTGAAAGTTAAGTCTTAGACTTTTAAAGGACAGACAGACCATCTCTTGCCCTGACATAAGTGTTGGAACTGCCTTCTCCCCTAATCCTCACGGTGTGGCTCTCTTCTCTCCTTTTCCCTATTACTTTCTGTTTTATCACTACCACCTCTCCCCAGTGCTCTATGCCTTAAGCTAGGTGCTGGCACCTGGGCTTAGGATTCTGGCACTTAGCTCAGATCACAGGGGAGATGCATATGGGTGACCAATTCCATCAGGACCAAAAAGTACAAAGCATTTCCTTTTTCCTTTCTGTATTACCTCTTTTCTTATTACAAAGGGCCCAGATTACTCAGACTGCTTCTCTAAGCCCTTACCAGTCCCTGACCTCCCTCCAGATCAGTGGTTCTCAACCTTCCTAATGCCGTGACCCTTTAATACAGTTCCTCATGTTGTGGTGACCCCCAACCATAAAATTATTTTCGTTGCTATTTCATAACTGTAATGTTGCTACTGTTATGAATTGTAATGTAAATATCTGATATGCAGGATGTATTTAGGCGACCCCTGTGGAAGGGTTGTTCGACCCCCAAAGGGGTCACGACCCACAGGTTGAGAACCGCTGCTCCAGATACTATGTTCTTCAAATTACTTCATTCAATTTCTTCAGTACAGCTAGTTTCACTAGGTCTCAGAAACAGAGAAGTCTGATCTCTATTTAGACTCACTCATGCTAAGGTCCAAATAGAGACCTCTCCCTAGAGATTCTGGGTTTTAAAGAAGTTTGTCAGCCTTAAATGAAGTAGGCTGATAAAAGTGAGACATATTAGTTTAAAGTAGTGGTTCTCGAAGTGTGGTCCAGGAACCCCTGAAGGATCTCTGAAACCTTTTCATCAAAGGGTCAGCGAGGTCAAAACTATTTTTATAATACTAAGGCACCCTTGCCCTTCTCACTCTTTTATCCCCCATAATCAAAACTTTATTGAAAAATTGACACCAAAATAGATCACTGTTGTATACTTACAAAATTAAATGTAATTACATTATCCTGGTAGATTAACTAGAATTACTAAACTGATAAGGCTTTTTGTGAAACCCAAATTTAAGGCTTTTTGTGATATAACCCAAATTCAGGAAGCTGTGTGGATCATTAGTGTTGCTTTCTTCTAAATGAACACCCTTCGGTGAGTCTAGCCTTTCCTCCTGTCAGCTGGCACAGCACTGTTGAACAACCTACGCAAAGAACCACCGTCTGAGCGCGGCTGAAAACCGTGGTGATCTTGTAGCAACCTGGACATTTTACATCCATAAAATAAGAATTTGGACTTTGAACTAGCCGTTTCTTTTTATGTTTTTTCTTTTCCTCTTCCAAGGACGGGTGTAGTAAATCTCTAGCCAAAGGCATGTTGATCCTCTCGCAGGCGCAGCCCGTCCGGATCTCCCACCCTTCTCACTGTCACTCTTATTCTCTAACGATGTAGAGTGGAGTTCCCTGGAGGCTACATGACATGTGCTATCACAACAGATTGAATAAAGCAGCAGAAATGAGAATCTTATTCTCTTATATTTAGCCAGACATTAACAAGAGTTGCAAGAATATAGGACAATACCACTCCTTGATAACTTATTTTTGTTTTGGAAAAATATAGTTATTTTTCATAAAGTACATTATGTTAACATAGATTTATTATTTTAAAACTGAATCAATGAATATATTCATTTAAAATTATTCAATTTTAATTTTTGATATGCTAAATATTAATAGATATAACACACATAAACAAAATTTTGGGGAGTTCCTATAATTTTTAAGTGTGTAATAGGATCCTGGGACAAAAAATTTTGAGAAGCACTGTTTTTGGAGGAAGGAAGACTTTTCCTGTGCCAGGCCTATTCTGGGCTGCCACCATGCACTCTTGCCAAAACCTAGGCTTAGTATGTAGGCAATTTAGCATCCTACTTCTGATAAATGGCCTATCTCTGCCTTAGGCCATCCAGTGGTTTCCACAGAATGGCTGGTAATTCCTCTCCACTCCCACGGCCTCCACAGTTACATTGGAGGTTACCTTAGAGAGCAATGGTTCTCCATTTGGGGTCATTTTGTCCTCCAGGGGATATTTGGCAAAGTCTGGAGTCATTTTTCATTGTCACAACTGGGTGGGGGGGATACTATGGGCATTTAGAGGGTAGAGGCCAAAAATGATGCTAAACACTCTACTGTATACTGGACAGCCCCTCACAACAGAGCTCCAAATGTCAATTGTGCTGAAGTTGAGGAACCCTGCCTTACAGCATCCAGACCTCATTTGATGTTCCAGGACTTTAGATAAATCTGACAAATGATATACTCTAGAAGTTTAGTCTTTGATTGGAAAAAAAATCACAGGGCTTATGAAATCTGGCAGAGAGCCAATGTGCATTTGGGAGCTTCCAAATAAAAATGAAGGAGAAAAACAAACATTTCAAGCAGCAGCACAGCCAAGGAGCATAAAGCTGTAATCAGAAATCACAGATAATACCACTTAACAAGGTTAGGATAGCTGCCAAGAAAAGAAGGTACTGTAAAGGCCAAATCTCCTAGAACAGTATGTCTCTGTGGGGTGGAATACATTCCCAAGATGGCAGAGAAAAACTGCCATAATTTTCTCTCTTACTGTACCTTACTGGATGTACTGCCTAGCCCAACTCAAATCAACCAAATATATTGACACCTTCCCCCAGCACACACACATGCACATAATTTGGTATTTTAAAGGATGTGGAATTAGGTGGGCATTCAGTCATTTTAAATGTCACTTTCTTCATGAAGCCATTTTAACTCTCCACCCCAATATTTTCTCTTTCCTCTTTCATCTCCTACCTTGCTTGTTATTTATGCCCATGTCTTGTAACTCCCACTACACTTTTTACTTCTCAAGAGCAGGAACCATGGCTTATGTATTTTTATCCCCACTTAGAATAACAGTTCTCTCCATAAATATTTATTGAATAGATAACTCTCTTTTAGCATTTTGTTTTTCAGCTTAGTACTTCACATAATTATTATAATAACTATTATTATTGGTCAAGCTTAATGATCACTCTAAGAAGGTAGATTTATGGTCTCTACAAGTAAAGGGATTGAAGTATAGATCGGTTAAGCAATCTGCTCAAGCCTGCACAGCAATTACAGGTCAGGCCAGAAGGCAAATTAATATACTGCCAGCTCTGTACTATGCATTCTACAAAGGAACACACATAATGGTAGCAGTCCTCCTTATTTTTGTTCTTTGGGCTTGGATGTTCACAGTGAATTTTTTCTTTAGGGACCGCCATACTCCAAATAACTATCAACCTAGCAAGGGCATATCTTGCAGCTGGGGCCTGTCACTGTGGTGTAGCAATATGTCTCCAGGGTAATATTTCAGAGCAATTACTGTAGGCCCTTAACTGGTACCTAAGAGAATTACAAGTCAGAAATATTTATTATACTCATCTCAATAGAGAACAGAAAGAATTACACAAAGTAGGTCAGATTCCTATCATGGAAATTAGTGAGGCATTCTTTCCTTTGAAGGGCTTGCTATGAACTTTTTGCTGAGGAGAGACCTCCTAAGACAAGGGCATGGGTGGCAGGCTTAGGGAGAGAATAGGAGAGCTTTGTGATGCAATTTTAGGGGGTCTGGGAATGCCTCCCCATCCAGAAATATTTTCACCTGAAATTCTCCCATTAGAATTGCACACCTTTAAGTCAGAGCAACATTTCTTGTTAAAATACACAGCTTCCTGATAAATGGGAAATGAAACAAACTCCAAATCTTTGTTCCATATTCTTTAAAAATATTTTGGGGAGAGTGTAAAGTTCTTCTAAGAATAAAATGACTTACTGCACTTAAGTCATAAAAATGTATGTGGATTGTTGATCAGATGGAGAGGGTAAGAGTAAATGTGAATAAGAGAGTCATTTATAAGTATGGGAAGGTAGTGCTGACCTGTGGTAGGATAATGATTCCTTAGTGTGGGGAATAGTCATGGAATAATGTCAATTTAAAAAATAGGGGTAGTAATATAATTCATAATGCCTTGAAAATGAGTTCTATTTTTAAAGAAAACATAACTGGCTGTTAAAAATTTCTGCTTATCTCTCCCATCCACACTTGGCAATAACTCAGCTACAAAGGACTGTATTCACTAAGCCAAGGCATCAACCCCAGGTGGCAGTTGTTTAGGTTCCCAGCTCACTCCTTGGTTGTACCAACCAGCCATTTTAAAGTTCAATGTTATCTTAGTGATGGCCAACATTACAAATGATGATACGGCCATTTTTTTCCCCCCGGTGAAAGTAGAAACTGTTTATTCTTTAAAAGTAACTAAAAATTTTGATATATGTGTTTCAAAAGCACTGTCCAAATTTTTTCGATTTTAATTTTAGGGTGTATTTAAAATAGGTAGTTGGAACCATGTTGGATTCTTTCTTATCAACATGAAATGTGGTGAGAGTGGTGTAACGGTGCTGAGTTTCCTGATAGCGGCAAAGAAGAAAAAATAGCCTTGTGAATTAACAAGCAAGTTGATTTCTCTAAATGGTGATCCTGGAAGGGCTGAGATAAGAATTTGTACTATAAAAATGGCTCTAGGCCTGAAAAATATAGGAACCCAGGGTGTAATATGATTCATTCACCCAGGAGACTATGGGATATATTCTGTTCTGAATGGCTTCTACCCTTAGAGAAAGCCCAAGTTTTCTTTACAATAGAGAGCATGCTCATATGACTGTTGGCATTACTGGACTCTGGCCACTCAGATGACCCTCATTTCACAGGGGCAGCTACAATGATTTGTAGAGCTATGCAGTGCTTAGCTGCTAGAAGCTCCCTCTGAGAGAGTATTTATATCTATGTAGTTCACAAATGTAGCTCAAACCTATTTAACTCCTTGCTAATGAGATCATAATTTAATATAAGTGCAAAGAGCAAATTCAATAATGCATGCATGTAACATTAGGAGTTGAAAGCTGTGAATCATTTTACTAAGGGGCTTAAGAATGCTGGTGATTGAAACCTATTGATGAGCATCTATGCTAGAGTAGCAGCCCCAAAGCCACTTGTAGATATGTGGGTAAAACCAGTGCATTTCCAAATGATAACCTCTCAAATTCAAAGTGATAGACCCTTTGATTCTACAAGTTGTGAATTTCACTGATGGATTTCTGCCAAACTGGGCCTTTGTCCAACCTCTCCCTCTAGAACAGGAATCCAAAACAATTATTGGTTATGGACATAACCCAATTTGTCTGAGAGGACTTCTTATTCAATTTGTTCCTGACAGAGAGAAGGAGCTCAGGGAAGATGCTAAGCTCTCAGAGAAGGCAGTTTTGGTTAAAATGTGACCGCAGGTACTTTCCCAAGTTCATAATTGATATGATTCTCTTGATAACTTGTTTTTAAATTCCATTAAAATTAAAACTATAGAATTTGGTTGAGTTTTATTATAAGTGTGTTTTATTTAGATATCCCAATGACCCTGAGAAAGAGGCATAGACATCTAGTTCATTCCCCTGAGTCTAGCCAAATTTTTATTGAGAGTTTAATATAATGGGTGCCAACATTCTCTTTTTCCTCAAAAGCTTTCCCTTGACCATGACCCATAGAAGAATAATCAGTTCAGCTTACACCCCAATAGATAGAAACAAATGGAGTCAAATATAAGATCTGAAAGTTGGTTGCCATGTCAGGGCACATACTGCCCTCCTCGAACGAGCATTCTAGCATTCATTTATCTGCATTTTCAGTAGTGAAGCTAGACAGAACACACCAGCAGAGTCAGTCTCTCTCTCTCTCTCTCATTCAATCTCTATTTTTAAAAAGTGTAAAGTATGCTATTGCCTTATGTCTGTATTTTGAGAAACATCTGCTTCAAGGCAAGATGAAATTAAGCTTTAAGATGAATCTAGACTTGGACCACACTTTTGCCACTTCTGACCAATAGGGATTTGCCTCATGTGCCAAGGGCCAAATGCTATACCGCTCTCTAGAAAGTCAAAAGAGAATGGATTTCAATTGTTCTCAGTAAGAAATCTGCCCCACCCTGTTCCACCAACCTCAGTTCCCACCCTCATTGAATACATTTATTTGTTTCAAATCTTTCATGTTTCTTTTTCATGGGCTGTCCTACTTTTCAGAGAGTGTGATTCTGTAACCTCCTCTCCAAATGAAAGGAAACCAATTGATTTGGTCTTAGAGGGGCAGAAAAGGCATAGACATACACATCATTTCACTATGCCATTGCAACAGTGTCTTTCCTTTTGGAAATTATATAACAGCATTCTTACCTTCAGGCTTTTTACTCCTGCTGCTCTTTCTGTAGCTCTGGTGTTGGACACTTGGTCATTATTTTTCAATAAGAAACACATTCAAGTTATCAGGATAACACCAAAGGCAAATAATCATATCTTAATCATAGAAATCATGTTAAGGCCACACAGTCAATTTAAAAATTAAAACATCAGTAGAATGGGTTAATTTAACAAAAATGTTTTCTTTTTGGATTACAATTATTTTCCGGTGGTAGAATTTATTCTTTAACACCATCTTGCAAACTCAATGGTTTT